ATAACCACAAAAACATGGGAAATGTCCAAGGTCATTAATATTCAAAGAAAGGAAAATAAAAATATACAGTAAGACTATTTTATAACTACTAAATTGGAAACATGAAGAAAAATCATACATAACTCTCCAACGCTGCAGGAAACCCACAGTCGTACATCAGTTTACTCATATAAATTGGTACAAAAAGTTTTTGGAAAGAACTCTGGTGATACGTATGAAGAATTGTAAACAAGCCCATGCCCTCTTTTGATATAAAACTTCTGGGAATTTATCCCAAGGAAATAATCCAGAAGAAAGAAAAAGCTACAAGCACAAGTTCATTATACATTATTTGCAATATTTGAAGATCAGAAATAATCCAGCCACTAGGGAATGGTTAAGTACATTACGGATATATCCTTTCAACAAGCTATTAGGAAGTGATTGACCTTGTTAGGATTTTGCGGGCCACGTGGAAAAACACCCATGATGTAAAGTTAAAAGCAGAATTCAAATATATCTGCTTTAGAATTGCTATTATGTAAAAATTGTTCTATGCTCATCCACCAGGGCTTGGAAAACATTCTAAAAAAGAAAACTCTTTTCAATTTATGGGTAAAATTTGTGGTTGAATCTTTTTCTTATCTCCGTTAAATGTTATTATGGTGCTTGTGCAGAGTGATGACAATAATCATAACAATTATCTTTTAGAAAGAACTGGAAATGCTCTCACTCCGTATCTGAGAGCTAAAGCCATGCTGGGCTGTGGTTCCTGACCGGAGAGCTTCACCGAGGCCCAGCTGGTCCTCACCGCGTGTGCTCCAATGGGGTACCAGAGTCTGCAGGATATGGGGTTTCACCAGACTTCAGCTTACGTGCAAGAGCAAAAGTACACATGCCACCTTTCAGAGGCGCACGGTGCGAGCCCACCACTCGGACCTCAGGCAACCGCCCCCCCAGCTCCTGCCAGGTTCTAGGGTTAAGAAGAAAGAGCCCTTTCCCCTTCTTCAAAGCGCTGCAGCCGAGCTGCAGTAACAACTGGGAACTCGGTGCAGAGATCACACACTGGCAGCTGGGGACCGGATGTGGCCTGTAGGCATGTTTTGCTTGGCTCATACGGTGCTTCAAAAGTTGGAACATTTCACGTTTTTAAAAATAGTCTGGATCTCCAGCATCTCCTGAGAGGTTGGACGCCGTGACAAGACCAGGTCCACATTCCAGGCTGGCGTCCCTCCACCCGCAGGAGCCCAGTGTGGGCGCCTCACTTTGAGGGGCTCTGATTCATCACACATCTCACTCGTATTCACATGGGCCCCTACTCTGTGCCGGGCACTGCCGGAAATTCCCCAGGAAAGGGACAGACACCGTCTCTGTGGTGCTTACTTTCTCCTGGGAGATAGACCATATGCACATAAGTGACTATTTCCATGTCATGAAGATAATCAAACAGGGGACAGTTGGAGAGGGGACTGCAGGGATGAGGTGCCGTGCTGACAGGGTGCCCAGGTAAACCTCTCTGAGATGACATCTGAGTTGATTCCCTAATGACGAGTCAGAGCCGGCCACACAGAGACATGGGGTGAGAACATTCCAGGCCAAAGGAAGAGCTTGTGCCAAGGGCCTAGTGTATGAATGAGTCTGGAGTGCTCCAGAGATAGCGAGGGAAGGAGAGAGAGGGGCAGGATCACAGCTGGGAGACGGGACTTATTCTAATTACAATGGACAAAGCAGAAGGCCAGGGGTGGAGGGAGGTGATGTGATCTGATTTAACTGAAATAAAATGCCTCTGGCTGCTAAGTGAAGAAGAAACCGAGGGCAGGGAATCAGGGCAAAGGGAGGCCAGGAGACCAGTCAGGAGGTGGCCAGATGGTCCAGGTGAGAGAAGCTGGGAGTGGGCTAGGAGCAGAGTGGCTGGATCAGAAATACTCGGTGCAGGGAGCCCACAGGACTTGCAGAGGGAATGCATGGGTAGCCAGTGGGAGACAGAGGGTCAAAAGAGTGTGCTTTTTAAAGTGGGTGATATTAAAGTGTGTTTATACAAGAGGGATAAACCCATGATTTTGTGGGGCAAACAGGCCAGGTGCAGTTTAAAACCTTCATGTACGGTCTACTTGGGCCAAGGAGTGAACGATTTCTTAGCATTCGGTTAGATGGAGAAAAATGTGTCAGCGTGGGCAGCCAATGGTTTGTATTTAGCATGCAGGCACGGTTCTGCCTTGAGCACTAACCTGAAAGGTGAGAACAGAGTCAAGGCTTCCGCGTGAGGCTGGGGCGTGAGATGAATGGGCATTCTCAAGATGATGATATGACCGGGCACTCTCAAGGGCCCTTTCATCTTCCCTTTGAGCCTCTTCCCACTGCAAAGCACAGGGCCAAGGGTCTCTGGCATTTTGGCAGTGGCTCATGAAGGCAGTGAAGAGCTGGATCCTCAGCCTCATGCGTACTCAAGGGGCAACGGACAGAACTTGACTGTGAGGGCGGGAGGGGGGGAGAAAGATGAGCAGGTCGTTTTTGTGACTTCACCAGGGCTCAAGCTTTTAAAACTGAACAGCTAAGCAAGGGGCACTGTCTTCCATTCACGGACCTTTCCCACGTCAACAAGGGTCATTCACGGCATTACAACAGCTGGCTGATCCGAGGATTCCTCGAACTCTCTATGGAAACCTGTCTTTTAGCCATGGTGTCTGCTAGCGTTTTCTTTGGCTGATTACTTTTCCCTTTAAACCCAACTCCCATCCAACTTTCCAGGGAAGTAAGGCGGCGAGCTTCCGAAAGTCAATCATTTGTCTACATACACAACTACCTACTTGGCTAGCCCACTTCTGCTCAAAAGAACAGCTGAAATAGATGTTACTTATTGCTGCCTCCCAAAACCCATGTGGCTAAGTGAGCTTTAGTAAGCCTGAGAAGTGGGGTGCCCTGTCCCTATATTAAAAAGCGGAGTGCCTTTTTGCAGAAATGCGTCAGATCACCAAGGGTCCCTTATCCAGCCAAGGAAACCAGAGAATATGGGGAGCTGGAAGGGCAGTGATCAGATTTGCCTTTCAGAAGGATGCCTCTGGCCACCCAAGGGAGACTCATGGATGACCAGGCAATGGTCCCTTGACCTCACGCAGGAGCAGGAATAAGGGAGGAGGTGGTGGAGACACTCTGCACACATGCAGGTGTTATGTGAGAGGGAGAATGGAGTTTCAGGAACTCACAGGTCACTCTCTGGGGCACAGGGCAGAGGATGTGCCATTGACAATGGGGAGCCACCCTCACAAGTGCCTCTCTGCCCCGTTTGGCAGCCGAGCCTGTTAAGACGGGAGCCCTCTCCCCCAGATCTAATTAAGAGCAGCTAGATGCCCACTTCGGCCTGCCTTTGTGTCTGCCAGGGCTGCCCTTCAAGACCCTCTGCCACCCTCAACAGAAGGGATTTCCTTCCCAGCACGCTGGGCGAGGGGCCTTGGTGGCACACGGTCCTTTGTGAACTGCTTTCTTGTTCTCTCTCCAGTCTTGCCTGAGACTTTCCCTGGGCAGTTAGGTTACGTTATGTTCTTCTTTTCAGATCCAAGATATTACTTACATATGAGTTTCTTTTTAAAATTAATGTTTAATTTCACATGTGATCCATAAATAAATTGTAGCAATTTAATACCTGAAGGAGCTCATTTTAGATTTTGATGAATAAAGAGCAACTCCTCGGCCTGTTTCACAGCTGGGTCTGTTCTTTCTGGTAATATAGGGGGTGGCGATCGGGCTGTTTCATCACAGAGTGGGGTGCGTAATGGTTAATTGTATGTATCATTCTGGCTGGGCCATGGTGCTGCCTGGTTGTTTGGTCAAACACCAGTCTAGGTGTGGCTGTGAAGGTATTTCTAAGATACCACTAACAATAAATAAGTAGACTTTGAATAAAGCAGATCACTCTCCACAATGTGGGTGGGCCTCAAGCAATCAGCTGAAGGCCTTAAAGCACAGACTGAAGTTTCCGGAAAAAGGAATTTTTTCAAGGCTGTAACATAGAAATTCTACCTGGGTTTCCAGCCAGCTGTCCTGTGGAATTCAGACTCAAGATCGAATATCGACTCTTACCTGAATTTCCAGCCTGCCGGCCTGCCCCGCAAATTTCAGACTTGCCAGCCCCCACAATTGTGTGAGCCAATTTCTTAAAATCAATCTCTCTCTCTCGTTCTTTATATATATAGACATAATATATTCTGATATATACATGTATATGTATACCTCCTATTGGTGATGTTTCTCTGGAGAACGCTGACTAATAATAATACAGGACGACTTCGATGGGTGGAGCTATCAGGCCCAACTCTCAGCCATCATCTCTTAGCTCCAAACTGCAGACATCTCAGAACGACAACTCGCTGAACCCTTCTTGACACAGAGCACGCTGGCTACGGTCCAGTCTGGGGGCCTTGAGCCGGCTCTTCCCGCACCTGGACACCTTCCCCAGGCACCTGCAGGCTCACTCTCTCTCCTCCTTCAAGTTTCTACGCAGCCTGCCCATCACTCCATAGAAACGCACTTCTCTATAGCACACCCCTGGCCTTCCCTCTCTCCCTTCCCCTCCTTCTCCTCACACTTATCTGCACCTGAAATACGACATATTAGCTCACCTACTATCTGTTTTCTCATTGCCCCCTCATCCACTGCTGGAAGGTCTGTGCCACGTAGACTCTGTGTTGGTCACTGAATACTCCCCAATGCCTAAAACAGGGTCTTGTATACAGCAGGTGCTCAATAACTGTGCAGTGTGGAATGACTGAACAACAGATGGATTCGGGAATGTGGGGCAGAAGGAGCCCGACCGTGGTGGGTGGTTCCTCCCTGCCCTCGATTTCCCCTCTAATCCATGTACTGGCCACTGCGTGGCTTCCTTCCTGGGGGAGCCGGCACCCTAATTAGAGCCACCTGAAAACACGTATAAAGAGGGGGAGCCAGCACCCTAATTAGAGCCACCTGAAAACACGTACAAAGAGGGGGAGCCAGCACCCTAATTAGAGCCACCTGAAAACACGTACCAAAGGGGGGGAGCCGCTCTGCTTCGGAGGCGCAGACGTCCCTCTCCTGGGTCCTCCTGCCGTAGGTGGCGGAGTAGATGTTGAGAAACTTGGATTCGTGGCAGTGCAGCTTCAGCTCTTCGTCTTCACACACGGTTTTGTTTTTTAATTCATCTGAAGCAGAAACGAAAATGGGCGGCACCATCAGCTTCCCTGGGAAGGAATCGAGAGCGCCGCCCACATCCCGGCCGCTCATCCCCCTGGGGCCGCCCCTGAGAAGGGACAGTCGCGGGGGCCCTGCCCGCCCATGGGGGTTTCTGACCCTGGAGAAGAAAGCCGTCTGCAGGGAGAGGGTGGGAAGAACCCATCGACAAGCGCAGACCAGGCATTGCAGTAAGGTGCAAACAGAGGAGAGATGCCAGGTGAGGCAGGCGGGGCTTGCTGTGCTAAGTCCTGGCCGAAAAGGAACTTTCTCTCCCTCCCCACTTGAGGTCCCACATTCCTTCATTGAAGGGAATCCTTCCCTAAACGTTGGCTTGGGACCCACAAAGGTAAAGACCATGAATTACCTGATGGAAGATTAACCTCTGGAGGGAGCCCAGTTAAACCTCACCGCCCGACTTCCTAACATTCTAGCACCCGGTTTACATATTTACAGAGAGAGAGATGATATAAAAAGCAAAATTATTTCCTTTGCTGGGAAAGGGGAAAAAACAAGGCACGGAGTCTGTGAAGAGTCGGTCTTCAGAGAAATATGAAGAGCCTGCCCCCAATCTGGTGCACCGGGAGCAGGTGATGCTCAGACTGACGTCATGTTCCAGGGTAGGACCATCTGAACCAGGTCGTACTTTGTTCCCAGAGAATTTCATGAAAATTTGTTTGTTTAATCCAAGTGCCATGGTAAAATTTCCCTTTGCAATGTCATACAGAGTTGACATTATGAATGCACTGCTGAAAAAAATATAGTTTATTGCTTTTTCTTAAAGAGTGAACCAAAAAACTATTCAATTAATAAAAATGTTTAATAACAATTTGATTTTTAAAAGTAATAATAGTTAACACTCCAGACACAAAAAAACACATAGCGCATGATTCTATTCATATGAGCTATCCAGGAAAGGCAAACCTATAGAGACAGAATGAAGGTTGGTGGCTCCCTGAGGATGAGGGCTGGGAACACAGAGGGACGACAGCAAATGGACACAGGGAAATTTTTTAAGATGATGGAAATATTCTATAGCTGGACTGTGGTGATGATTTCATTACTCAGCACATTTACCAAAAATCATTCAATTGTACCTCAAAATGGGCAAATTTTATGCTATGTAAATTATACCTCAATAAAGAAATTTTTAAAATAACAATAGCTACTATTTAGTGAGCATTTCCTCTGAACTAGGCCCTCTTCTAAGATCTTTAAATGTATCAATGAATTTAATACTCAAAACAGCCTGTCTGAGAACCAGCTCTTCATATCCTTTGCATGTTGTGTTTTTAAGTTTTAGAAACTGTTTGCAGCAGTGATTCAGATAGTCTGGATGTGAACTTCTGTCTCTTATATGTTATAAATATCTTTTCCTAGCCTGCCACTTAACCTTTGCAAAAGCAAAGCAAACCAAAACATAAAGGGAACCATGGCCATTTATTTGCATGTGTGGTTCTCTCTCTACCCCCCAATGTTTTGAAAAGAAAAATCATGAAAAAATGCTAGCCCCACTCTATCACCTCCTGTCCTAGTTTTCTCTATTTTGAAATGCAACTATCTTTCAGCCAAACAAGAGCAAAATTACAGGAACTGCTCAGGTTGTCATAGGCTGCCTGGGATGGGGAGGAAGACTATGTTAAGAGGAAGGAGAACTAGGCCACCCCCCACCCCATCACACACACACACACACACACAGACACACAGACACACACACACACACACACACACATAGACACACGCACCCATCTTTCACTTCTCTTCTTTCCTGAATTGGAGGCGCAGGCTGATTCCAGGTCCCTAATAAACCTCAAGCCAAAGTTTTTCAAATTGTGATTCGAAGCCCATTCATGGTTCATGAAATCAGTTTAATGAATTGTGACCAGCAATTTTAAAAAATAAAGAATAGTTTAGAAAACATCAAAGGCATCACGTGAAGAAGGATAAACACTATGTTATAATTTTTAAAAAACTTTTCAGTCGTGTGTGTTATGCTGGGCCAAAATGTCAAGTACTTTTCTTACTCTGGGTTGCAATCAAATCACTTTGAAAGTCCCCACCTGAGGCCTTACAGGAAGGCCTGAACAGTTAACGTTAGGGTGACGGTGGCTGGTGGGACCTTTGGGGACCTTGTATCCTAGAATCGGTGATGCTTAAGCCCCAAATTTAAAACATGAAAGAAAATAATTTCCAAATATAAATTCTACTTTTCAGTAACTTGTAAATTCCCACACCTTTCTATCCTAAATTGAGAAGCAGCAGTTGGCATGCACGAAGGAAAACTTTTTAGGATCTCAAGATTACCATCAACTTTGGTGCTGGTAATCTTGGCACTGTTCTTCAATATGTGATGACGGAAACATTCGAGGTTAATGAAAGGTGTGGAGCAGAAACCAGGTTACAGATGCTCAGAAAATCCCCACCCTCTCTAGTATCCCAACATACACAAGGAACCATCAGAGGAGGAAAAGTTGAAGTGGTAACTAAGCAAATGTTTCGAATTGCCCTTTACCCACTAACTGGAATCTTAATATAACAGTTTAAATTTAGAGCCAAGAAAAGTTTTGTTTTCTTTTTCTAAATAAAAAGAACACTGAGTCTGACCCTGACATCAGAGGGTTTGCTTTTGGTGAGTCATATCCGCCCTGGTATGAGTTTTTCAGTGCATTTTATGAGGAAATGCTAAATCCCACCAACTGAAATATTGCCTGACTTCAAAGGCCCAGAGTGAACGATGGTCTTTGATGCCAAACAGAGGGCACGGGTAGAAACACCAAAAGAGCTCAGGCTCCCTTGCAACCAGGAGAATACCAAAAATGTTAAGAATGCCTTCCAGTGATAGAGTTCGCCAAAAAGGAGAGCGAGAGAAGGCAGGATGAAAACGCAGCCTTATCTCAGCAAATTGGAAACTTCTTTAACAGGAATGGTTTCTTTCTTTTTTTTTTTTAAATTGTAAGAATTTTTTTTAAGGTATGTCATGAAATGCATTTATTAGCCACCATCTCTCTGGTGTATTAAAACCCATTCATTCAAGGTAGCCTTGATGCCCGCCAAACTCACCCAGAGTAACCCAACACCCACACGCAAACCTCCAGTGATTTGTCCCCAGATTATGGGCAAATCATCTCCCAGAATGGAGGGGCTGTGAGTGTCACATTATGTGCTTGGGGTTACTGTTGTGGGATGTTGAGTCACTTGGTTCTTTGGGAATGTGCTAATTCACTGTCGCCTAAGAGTGACATTTCTGAATTCTAACAACGACAGGATTACTAACATAATTGCTACTTTTGTTGGAGAATGAGAATTTGTTTTAGGGCTGGGTTAGAGGCTCAATGGTTTCAGATTAGAAAAGCTATGGGCAGCCTTCCAGAAACAGGTCGCCAACAGCCCTGTGGCTTGGGATGGGGAGAGTGACAGGAGCCTGGGCAGAGGCAGAACATGACTCTGCTTAAACGACAACAGACACAAGTGATGTGGGCCCTCCACTCCTTTTTAATAACACAGACATTTGCATAAAGCAGTGGCCTTTCAAAGGTGGGCAGGAGGAGCGATCTGCCATGATGGGAATAATTTATTACTGACGTTATTTACAATTATCTGGTGCATGGTGATATCAACAAGCAGACAGCTATCTAGTCACATTTATTGTGTTTTTAAATTCTCTACAGACAGTGCACCCTGCTATTGCCTGCCCCCAGGGGAGACCACATCCCTCCGATCCTTGATATATCACTGCCTTTCAGTCATTCACATGTTTAGCAAGAATTAGTCTGCCTATTGGAAATAATAGCCATCAATTACCAAGTTCAACCCCATGACAGGTCCTGTGCTAAGCATTTTACATACAGCACTGGATTTTTACAGTCTTTATAAGAGCTCTATGCAGAAGGTGCATTATCTTCATTTTACAGTTGAGTCATGGAGCCTCAGAAAAGTTTCCCTACACTGTCCAAGGTCACACAGCAGCTACACAGTGGACAGGGATATGAACCTAAATCCGAAGCCTTACTGAAACCAAAATTCCCCGAAGGGATGAAGTTTAGGGAGGAGGTGAAGCATGGTGCACACTTGGGGAAAAGAAGGTTCCAGTGAGGACTGCTGGCGAAATAGCTCTCCAAACACCAAACATACAAACAAGCCCTGATTTGTAGCGTTTGCCAGTTTCCCTGGTGTAAATACTCCCATCACAGCAGATTTCACTGCACACAGGCAGAGGTGGGAAGAGATGTGCATCACTGGCTCTCATGATCAGAGCTGGATCCACGCACCCCTGGAGGCAGCAGCGAAGCCTTTGACAATCAGTGTCAGGCAGGGGCTGGAACTGGGAGGAGGGAGGAGAAGAGCCTCAGGAGGTGAGAGGGCTGCAGAAAAAGAGGCAGGAGGGGTGGGGACAACCTCACTTTCCCCTCTATTTCACAGCAGCAATAGGCACCACCTCCCCAACTAGAGGTCCACCTCAGGTCACCAATGTCCAGGTTACACAAGGTCCTCTGGTCTGAGTGTTTGTGTCCCCCTAGAATTCATATATCGAAATTCTAATGCCCAAGGTGAGCGCATTAGGAGGTGGGGCCTTTGGGAGGTGATTAGGTCATGAATGGAAGTAGTGCCCTTTTTTATAAAAGAGACCGCAGAAAGCTCCCTTGCCCCTTCTGCCATGTGTGGTTATAGCAAAAAGACAGCCGTCTATGAGGAAGTGGCTCCTCAGCAGACATCAAACCTGCTGGCACCTTGATCTTGGACTTCCCAGCCTCCAGAACTGAAAGAAATAAATTCTGTTGATTATAAGCCACCCAGTCTATGGTATTTTGTTATAGCAGCTGAAACGGACTAAGACACAAGGCTCTGCCCCTCTAATCTGTTATACATGGGCAGCCAGAGGGGGCTTTACAACCCCAACTGAGCACCGTCCCTGCTTAAATGCTGTGCACAGATAGAGTCCACCTCCCTCCCCGGCCGTCAGGGCCCGGGGTCCTGGTCCAGCTCCTGCTTGCTCCCTCCAGCCCGCTGCCCACTCTGGCCACAGGCTCCTGTATGGAGTGCTCTTTCTGCACCCATCCCAACCCCTGCGGTTCTCAGCTCCATCATCACTTGCCAGGAAAGCCTTCCCTGAAGCCCTGCTGAGGTCAGTTCCTCCTTTGAGCTGCTTGCACAGTACCAAGGTCACAGGGGTCTTCTTTAGATGTTTTTGCACAGATATGGTCTTTCCGGAGAAAGGTGATATTTGGCCTAGGACCTACAGGACGAGAAGGAACCAGCTATGCGAAGATCTCAGTAAATGCTCGCTGGATGAAGGAACGTTGGAAACTGCCCAAGATGGAGCCGCCATCCAGGAAGCCTCTGCAAGATGTGAGTTCTCTTCATATCCAACACCTAGCCTAACACCTGTGCACAGTAGGTGCTTAGTAAGTGTCTGCTGAAATGAAATTATAAACAGACCTAACCACACGCCACAGTAACAAGGCTGTGGCCCAGCACTGACTTATCCAAGGTTCTGCCAATTTCACAAGGGCCTTTTTACTTCTGTTAGAAGCTAGTCCTTCCCAACTTTTTATTAGAAGAAATTTCCAACATACAGAAAATGTGAGAGAATCTCACCATAAACAGTTATATTCCCACTACTTAGATTCTGCAATTGTTGACATTTTGAACGAGGGCTGCTTTTAAAGGGTTATCTTTTTCACCATGGAAGAAGGGTGGAAGAGAATAAAAAGGCAAAGCTAAGGTAGTCAAGGGCGTGGCCAAGGGCATGGCCATTTTTTGAGATTCAGCCGTGGGAGGGAAGCGACTAAGAACATGGAGATCTAGAAGTGATTTTCCTGAGTCTACTGAGTGAGGCAAGAGCTGATGAGAATCCTGGAGTGGGTGGGGGTAGGCCGTTCTGCAAAGTTCGGGCCTGCTTGTGGGTGTTTGTGAGTGTGTGTACGTGCAAGTATGCGTGTGACAGTGGGTGTATAATAGACTGTATGGGTGTGATAGGATGTATGTATGAGTGACTAAGTGCGTGCGTGATCAGTGTGTGATAGTGAGTACGTGTGTGTGAATGAGTATGTATGTGGGTGTATGTGTGAGTGTGAATGTGCATTTGAAGGCACGGTACAGAAGCAGAGCCTTGGGGCAGTTCTGAGGTATCTGAGCCCTAGCAAGGAAAGGCTTTTAGCCAGAAGCCTGGATATTTGCCAGAAGGATCCAAGGCTTTCTCTGCAGATGTGCACTCGAGACTGTTACACACCTGTGGCCCAATGCCTCACCCACCTCTGGCATCTGGGCCACCAGTGATGGGGGCGATGCTGGGCTCCAGAGGCAGAAACCAACAGAGAACAAAATGCAAAAAACAAAAATAGTGGCATTGGGGTGGCAGCGCAGAATTTGAAAGATTATTATTCCTTACGTTTTGGTTAAATGTCGTTGCTATAACATTGCTTTCTTTTCCATAAGTTTTCGAGGATTACCAGGAACCTCTAACACTGCAATTACCTACAGCTTCTCTTAGGCAGACCCTCCACGCCTGGAGGTGTGATCTACTCACTGGAGAGCAATTATTTTTGGCCCGCAATGTGTTAATCTGACGCACAAAACTGATGTGCGTCAGAAATGGCCAAAGTCAATGCAGAACAGAGCAAGAATCAGACTAAAAGAGGTTGCTCCAGCTGGGCCCTCTTCCTCTTTTCTTCTCCTTAGGAAAAGATACTGTGTACGGAGCCCCTGCTGGAGATGGAAGTGGGAAGAAGCCAGTTCATGAAGATCTGAAACCTTGGGCTCAGGTGGCAACCGTGCCACCACTGCCCCCCTTGAAAGAGCAAGCCGCCCTTCAGCTGGAGGTGAGCCTCAGCAAAACCTCCTCTGAAAAGGAGAACCGGTTCCTCATTTTAAGGAAAAGCACCGGCAGCCTCCTGCCACCCCTGCTATTTTTAGCATCGGTACAACTGAGTTTTACATATTAGGAAAGATTTTTAAAATTCAAGGATTTGTAAGAACGCACATGGATATGTGGGTGTACGTACACACACACACACACACACACACACACACACACACAAATACACACAAACTAGAAAATTGGGTAGGACGGGGCCCCGACATTTCTATTAAGAGTTTCAAAGTCAGATGAATGCCAATTGGCAGAGAATTTTTGTCAGGGTATGAATGACACAGGGAAGCCACACCCCAAACACACTGTCCCCCTCGAAAGTTACTTACTAGGTTGGCATTTAAAGGAGACCCGGAGGTATTTACTGCTCCCTGGACAAAGGTCAGGTCCAAAAACACGGCTATTGACTAGGAGGTGGCAGGCCCGCTGGTTCTGGCATTCATCCAGCACCTTCTGAAATGAAAGGGTAGAAAGGGGATAGGCTTGAAAACCACACACAGTGTCTGTGAGACCCCACACCCGGGCTGCTCTGGGCTCTGAGGAGAAAGGGACACCTGCCTGCCTGGCCTGGGGTGCACATGGAAGACCTTCGCGCTGCTATGAGCTGTGTCTAAGATGAAAGGAAGCACACACACGTGGGTGAGCAGGTTGGCTCCCTGTCTCCCTGTCTTTCCAGATGAAGAAACCTGACCCAATAGTGCCAGGTCCCCGTCAGAAAACCAGCCTCGGATTCACCTCAAGTGGCAACGCTGCTGATAGTTTTGGCAAAAGCTACACCACAGAGTCTCCAGAGGATGTGAGCAAGATCAGAATGTCTTAGAGTGTCAGGCTGGAAGGGACTTGGAGGTCCCCTTCCAGGAGGGGTCCCTTGACTTGAAAGCTGAGAGAGCTCTGTGGGGAGCAGGAACCATAGTTATAGCTCCCCATCCTTAGAAACAGCCCGACACAGGCCACAGGAGAGCTCAGCGTTTGGGGAGGCCTTGGAGACCCAAACCCCAACACAGGCCAACAAGAGAAAACTAAGAAGCTGATTTCTGCCCTTGCCAACCTCAAGGGCATGGACCCACTTCTTCCCTGTGGAGCGATTTTCTTAGTGGAAAACTCAGGCTTTCTGTTGAGCATCTGGTTTAAAAGCTTTCCTTCAAATCTCTCTCTCTCACCTGGTTTTGTCCAGGCAGCTCACTCCTTCGTGAATGAATCTGCTCTCTGGAAGCTCAGGGGCCACCCTATGCTGAGCCACAGAAAGACCCAGCATCTCGCTGCTGTTCTCCCAGTTCCCTAACAGAACAAGCCCTGCCCATGACCAACACAGAGGTCCTACACTTGGTAAAAAGGACACCAGGCCCAGTAAAATATTCTCAAGAATCTACTTACTACAGTTGGACTGAATTTAGCGCAGATTCACGAGACTACGTGAGTCGCCATGTTCTCATGGTGGCCCATGGAATATCTCCATGAGGGATGCTGGCCCTACCAGGTATCACCTGTCACCTAGGGGTCCAGCGGATGTGTATAAAATCAGGAAAAATGCTTACAGAAACCCCGAGGACCCCCAGATGATGGTGCACTTTGTCATGGCCAAGGGTCATCACGAAATGACTCAGTCCTTGGAGAGCTCTGCGTGTTACAACCACAGAGTGGAACTCAAGGCAGGGCTGTTTCCAAACTGTGTTACAGCTGCAAAGTGCAGAGAGGAGGACTTCCTGTGAGCACTGAGTCCCAGGCTGGATCAGCTGAGGTGCTCCCATGCCAATCTCAACCTGTTCTCACCTACATTAAGCAACCTCCCTCTGAGGAAGCATCTTGCCTCAGCTCCCAAATCCAGTCTAACAGACAAGAAGTAAAGGATCTCTTGATCTCTGGATGAAAGAGCAGTGCACGGGGATGTTTCTGGCAAACACACCCTCCAACAACATCAGAATTGTGTTCACAGATGCTAACTTGGCCTGGTTATGGGAACATCCTCTTCCCCCAGGGCTGCCTGGCAGAGGCAGGCCCCATGCTGGAGGAGGGTGGTGCCCATGCATTGGAGCTCCAAGTGCCAGGACTTCATACTTTCACAAAGTAGGCACTTCCACCCTGTTGGCACTGGCCAACATTCTTTTTATGTGTCTAGGAGGGCAGCAGACAGCCAGAGTACCAGGGATGGGTGGGCAGGGCAGTTGGGATGACACATGGGGCAAGCCAACAGGGATAGGGCTCCTGGAGTGGCACCCAAGGGGAAGGATTGGGGTAGGGTGGGGCGCACAAGGAAAGGAACTGCTCTCCTCCAGGAGCAACATGCTGTCTCTCCTCAGGGCATAGAAACCATGTCCAGGGGATTCATTCAAACATATTCCTTTGGCTACTCAAAAGTTGGTGTCTTCACCAATAACATGACTACCCAGAAATGACGATGCTTGGAATGGAAGCAATAAATGGTGTGAGAAATAGAAAAATCCTTACATGATCACAGTATTTTTGCTTCTCCTCTTTTGGCCTTAAGGAGAGCTACACAGCATTAAAGCTAATTCCATTTCTCCTTAGCCCTCCTAGGAAATTTATCTTTACCCACATTTCCTATGATAGACAAAATCAAACACACATCTAATTTGTCCCCTGCTCTAACCACACTGACTTCAACGGATTCATATGGAACTTTGGAGGCATTAAAAAAATCCAAGTGATTCCATAATCTCGGCCAATAGCTATAAATGTTGAGGAGCCAAGGACAGTAGAGCAGAAGTTGCTTGGATAATTGAAAGTCATGAGTGGTCTAAAATCATCATTGAAATATTAGTTTTGACCTTCTCCTATACCAAATCTTTCCCTGATGCCAACCAAAAAAAGAATGACTCAGCACCCTCACCCCCAATTCCTGGTGCTACCCAGTAGAAGGATGAATCAGCAGAGACTGCCCAAAGTTGCTCCAAACAAGAATAACATGATTATCTACAACTGGAGAAGCAAACCATCAAAACACAAAAGACAATTATCAATATTTCCCTTCCTGGAGTGCGTTCTCTAAGAAGTTGATCATGACCTCAGATGTCCGCCTCACAGAGACCCTTGTGGTTTTCACTACAGAATCCACAGGCTTTCTCTCTCTAGTGGGGTACTGATGGGGGATGTGGGTCCAGAGGCTGAAGCCCAACATGACTGTACTTCGCTTTACTGCACGGAGGAGTACGCCTATGAATAAATTCATACGGCAAGTATTTTCAGGGAGCTCTCCAGGAAGTAGGAATTCTATTTAGACTTGTTTGGTAAAGAATCCTTTTGAGAAGCAAATAATAGCTCACTCGCCAAATCGGTGATTTGTATAAATTGGGATTTTCGCGCATCAGGTTTGTTTTGAGTGAACTATATAATCATAAGTATATATACAGAGAGAGAGGGACAGAGAGAGAGAGAGAGAGAGAGAGAGAGAACCATTTTATCTTCTTAAAACATCTACAAAAGGCAATACCTGCAATGTGGTGGGTGCCACACAGGTTGAGCTGTCTTCCCTCTGGGAGGCAGGCTGCTGGGCACTACACATTTGGTGATCTTGCCCGTAAAATGCCGACTGGACACTTATCGTAGAATGCCGAGGGCACTGGAGAGTCAAATGGTCCCCGTCACAGGCATAGGCGGTGTGGTTTTGCAGGAGTTTGGTGAGGTAACCTGGAAAATATTCAGCCGGGTTACAAGAGGCCCAGGAACTCACCACTCCTTCACCGATTCCAGAGCAGGAGGACCTCAGCTCCCCTGGGGAAGGGGCTGGTCAGTCAGGAAGATGTTGGGGACCTTCCTTAGCATCTCCCATGGAGAGGACACCAAGCTAGGCCCGGAGCGGGACTGGGAACCGTGGTCTGGGATGGCTCATTGGAAGGCTCGGAGGGCTCTTTCCCTTCAGGAAGCACTAAGGGATTGGCCAGGAGCCAAGAGGTCCTGAAGCATCCCTATAAAGCAGGAAAAAACTCGGAGTGGGTGTCCACTGGGCATGTAGATGCCTGTCCTGAGGGAGACGCGGGTTCTCTGACCTCCCCCAGTTGGGCCAGGCTTTCCTGGAGTGAGGAGATGCTGTTTAATTTTAGGAAACCACTCCTGGGCCTGCCACAGGCCTGGAGGGGCAAGGCAGGACATGCGGCACAGGGTAAGGGACTGCCCCGAAGGGAGGGGACAGGCTGGATGGTGGGGCTCTGTTATGGGTCAAACAGCATCCCCCGCAAATTCACGTTCACTGGGAACCTCAGAATGTGACCTTAATTGGAAATAGGGTCGGTAGAGATATAATTATTTAAGATGAGGTCATACTGGAGTAGGGTAGGCCCTTAATCCTATACGACTGGTGTCCTTACAAGAAGAGAAGAGACACAGAAGGAAGACAGTCATGTGAAGACTGGAGTGATGCTGCCACAAGCCAAGGAATGCCAAAGATTGCCGGCAGCCACTAGCAGCTGGAAGAGGCAAGAAAAGATTCTTCTCTAGAACCTTCAGAGACAGCATGGCCCTGCCAACACCTTGATTTCGGACTTCTAGCCTCCACAACTGTGAGAGAATATATTTCTGTTGTTTTCAGCCGCCCAAGTTTGTGGTCATTTGTTACAGCAGCCCCAGCAAACTAATACAGGCTCCCCCTCCCAGCCTCCCTGGTCCCTTCTCAACCCGGCTGGACGAGCCGCGAGGGCCTTGGGCTCTGAGGAGCTCCGCCGATGGCCTGGCAGGCGCGGGTGGCCTGGACTGTTTCTCAGAAAGGAGGAAGGAAGGTTCATCTGAAATGTAGATTCCTTTCCTCCTTCTCACACCTCATGAGGTCAATCGCAAGGCGCTGGGAGGGGAGCCAGGGACTTTTCGGTGAGGTGTGTGGGAGCCGGGTTTGGCAGCCCTCCGTCTCTGAGGGGGTGGGGGGTGGGGTGGGAAGGAAGGCAGCCTCAGAACTCCCCAGTTCCCACACAGACGGGCCTGTGCTTCAGTCATTCCTGTCAGGTTTCAAAATCCTCTCGGAACCTTAATTCTCTGCAAAAGGCACCCACCAGCTCCCTGGGCGTCCCTGAAGGTCACAGTAAAAGGGACTGAGACGGTCTGCCACAGGGTGGGCACACTTGCCAATCCGCGGATGAAGTCTGGGAGCACCCACCAGCACACTTAACCCAGATCTTTGGTCTCTCACTGCAACTCCTCTTTTTCTTCCCGCCCTTGAAAACCATCATAAGAACAGCCAAGAGACCAGCTACCCTGAGTTAACTGCACTTAGAGAAGCAGCTCGAGCAGCAACACTGACATCAGGCACCAGGCACGTGAGTCAGGGTCCTGCTGGTTGGAACAACACCGTCACTCACATGGTGCACCCCACCAGGCGCCGAGAGAGGCCAGGCAGAGACATGGTGGTGGTCCGAGGGCCGCAGGGCAGTGTCTTCCTGCAGGACACACAGGTGGGCCCTGATAAAGCCACGAGTTGTGAAAGTTCCAGCCTCCTCTGTGGGATCTCAGAACCCTGTTATGAGCCACACCAGGAAACTCAGGATCCCCCAGGCCAGCCCCCACCCTGAAGCTCCCCAGGCTGGTACCCCTGTACTTGGGTCTCTTCAGCCTCGTCATTAAAACTTTCTAGTGCAGCACCCCACCATTCACCAGGACCATGCTGGATGACCAGCTAACTAAAACGTTCAATTAATTCCAGGACCATGACTTTGGCTTAATGTTTAGGGTTTGTCCAAAAGGCCATGTGTTACTCTAGCTACATGAGGGTCATGGTAAGGCCCTGGGGGTGGTGGAGCCACAGATGGAAGGGGCTTGGGTTCTGGATTCACGGAGGGAAGAGCTGCCTGCTCCACAGACTGTTACATGAGTGCGAAAGAAGCTTCTCCATGTTTGAGCCCTCACCTTTCTTCACTCTGTCATGTAGTCTGTCCCCAGTAAACAGAACCTGATCTCCGTGAGACTATTTACATCAAAACACGACGTGAGCGCAGTGCCGTGGCCCGAGCCCCCTGCATACCGTAGTCATATTTGAGAGTGATATTCTGGAGGCAGAAGCTCAACATGCAGAATTGACTGACTTGAGGTCTTTCAGGTCCTTTTGCTCTTTGAGGGGAGAAGGGAGCCCCCCTCCCAGTATATCAGTCCTAAAACTGTGCAAGTGCAAAGAAGATACATCAGCAGTAAAACGTGCTCTAGACTCAGTCCAATTCCTTCTTCAAAAGCCTATGCCTGGGGCCGGTCCGGAGGCGTGGTGGTGAAGTTCGCGCGCTCTGCATCTGCGGCCCGGGGTTTGCAGGTTGATTCCTGGGCGCGGACTTACACACCACTCATCAAGCCATGCTGTGGCGGTGTCCCATATACAAAGTAGAGAAAGACTGGCACAGATGTTAGCTCAGGCACCATCTCCCTCAAGCAAAAAAAAAGAAAAAAAAAATGAGGAAGACTGGTAACAGATGTTAGCTCAGGGCCAATATTCCTCATCAGAAAAAAAAAAAAGCCTATGCCTATGTCCAGACAAGGAAATACTATTCAGCACTAAAAGGAAATGAGCTATGAAGCCACAAAAAGACACAGAGGAAACTTAAATGCATATTACTAAGTGAAAGAAGCCAATTCGAAAAGGCTACATACTGCACAATTCCAACTATATGACATAGTGGAAAAGGCAAAACTATGGAGACAGTAAAAAGATCAGTGGTTGCCAGAGGTTTTGGGGGTGGGAGGGATGAATAGGTGGAGGACAGAGGATTTTTAGGGCAATGAAACCATTCTGTATGATATTATAATGTGGAAACATGTCATCATATGTTTGTCCAAACCCACAGGATGTACAACACCAAAAGTGAGCCCTGATGTAAACCAGGGACTCTGGGAGACAATGACGTGCCAATGTAGGTTCATAGATTGTAACATGTACTACTCTGGGGGGGGATGTTGATAGTGAGGGAGGCTGTGCATGTGTGTGGACAGGGGTACATGGGAACTCTCTGAACTTTCTGCTCAACTTTGCTGTGAACCTAAAACAGCTCTAAAAAAGGAAAGCCAATTTAAAAGGAAAAACATTTAAAAACCACCTATGCCTCCCCAGGATAGCATTATCTTTGGGAGGGGAGGTGTTAGTGACAGGGAGGGGACATGAGTGGGGTTCAGGTGAGCTGGCAAAGCTATGCGTCTTGATCTGAAGGGTGATACGGGTTTTACTTTGGGAAAGTTCACCCAGCTACGTACTTAGGATCTGTGTACTTTTTTGTAGGTAGGTAAATAAAAATGTTTGTTGAAACCTTTACCTGCAGTTATGTGACCAATACTTTAAACTAATAAAGAAAGTCTGTGGAGCCTATGGATGATTCACAGGGCAATGGGAGCTGTGGAACACCTTCTTCTGTAGCCAACCACAGCCCACTAGACACTCCTCCTGAGTGACAGCAGGAAATGCTCATGAGGACGAGCCATCTGTCCTCACACCTTATGGTCCTCGCAGGGGCCTTCCCATACCACGTCCTGATTGACCTCCTCTGTCAGGAGCTGCTAAGAGGTCAGGAGGAAGGACAACTAGAGCTACCCACTGCTTTCAACAACACGGAGGACATCAAGGACCATTTTGAGAGGCATTTGGGTTGGTGGCTGGGGACAGAAGTCTGTTTGGAAGAGGTTGAAAAGTGAGCGGAAGTTGAGGAAATCTAAGATGGTTCATGTGGTAGACAGAATAATGGCCCCCCAAAGATGTCCACACCAGCCCTGGTGGTCTAGTTAGGTTAAGATTCGGGGCTCTCACTGCCACGGCCCGGGTTCATTTCCCCATCAGGGAACCACACCACCCGTCTGTCGGTTGTCATACTGTGGCAGCTGCGTGTTGCTGGGATGCTGAAAGCTACGCCACTGGGATTTCAAATACCAGCAGGGTCACCCATGGTGGACAGGTTTCAGTGGAGCCTCCAGACTAGACAGACTAGGAAGAAGGACCTGGCCACCCACTTTCAAAGAAATTGGCCATGAAAACCCTATGAATAGCAGCAGAGCATTGTCTGATACAGCGCCAGAAAGCGAGAGGATGGCACAAAAAAGACCAGGCAGGGTTCAGCTCTGCTGTACCTAAGGTTGATAGGTGTCGGAATCAACTAGATGGCACTAACAATAACAAAAAGATGTCCACAGTTGCCAATCCCCAGATCCCAGGAATATGTTACTTGATGTTGTAAAAGGAACTTTGCAGTTGTGATTAAGTTAAAGATCTTGAGATGGGGAGATGATCCTGGATGATCTGGAAGGGCCCAATATAATTACAACAGTCCTAACAAGAGGGAGGCAAGAAGTTCAAAGTCAGAAAAAGGAGATGTGGCCACAGAACCGGAGGTTGGAGTGATGTAGCCATGAGCCAAAGAATGTAGGCAGTTTCTAGAAACTGGAAAAGGCAAGGAAACAGATTGTGCCCTGAAGCCTCCAGAAGGAATGCAGCCCTGCCCACACCTTGATTTTCGATTTTTGACCTCCAGAACTGTAAGAGAAGAAACCTGTGCTGCGTAAGCCACTAAGTGTGTGGTAATTTGTTACAGCAGTCATAGGAAACGAATATAGTTTATACAGATGACTCTTGCAACAACCTGATGAAGATGAGAGAAATAGGGCTATAGTTATAAGAACAGATGTCCAGGGAGAGATTTTTAAATAATTACGATTGGGTTAAAGTTGGAAGGGGCCTA